ACCGATCTTATGTGACATTTATTGTTTTTAAAGAGAAATTTTTTTAACAAATTGCTCGTTATTATAAATTAAGAGTACAAAAAAAAAAGAGATGTTATACTATAATAACTTATTAAAAACTCATAAGTGTAACATAAAAATGTTACGGGGAGAAATTAAGTAGAATTGACTGGGAATGCCAAATGGAGTGGATCATGGACGTGAAATGTGAAATGATCTATAATAGTAAAAATGTACGATGGGAAGAAGGGCTACGTAGTCGGATTAGGAATCACAGCCTGCAACAATAGAGAGAAAGGGGCTTGGAGATGAGACAATAATAAGGATGGGGACATTATAATACATATATATATATATATATGTGTGTGTGTGTGTGTGTGTGTGTATGCGAGAAGAGTGTAAAAATATGATCCATGTTCTGGTTGTCAGTAAACCAAAGAGTGTGTCCAAACGCAGGTTGTTTTCAGTAGGTTGTTTTCTTTTTTGGTGCTTCAAATTCTGAGGGGCCATTCGGGTTTTTCTGTTTCTGCTACCTGACACTTTGATCCGTGTCAACCCCAATTAAAGGTCCCCCAGTTCCAATTTTTATTTCTATTTTTTCTTATTACACACACTCACACAGTAACATAGAAGAAGATGATCAGATTGACACTTGCGGCCAATTCATGGGCACCGATGATGCGTTTTTTCGCTGCACAATTCTCAGAGGTGTAGTCCCCTAGTATGGCTCAATCTGTGTGTGATCATTTCCTTTTCTTTCTACAAGTGTTTATTCAAATGTGATCACTTCGTATACAGTGTTTCTTTTTTTTTTTTTTTTTAAGTTCATAATATTTTGATCCTTAAATGCCCTAATCTCGTAAGAAACCAATTCAACGTCGTCGCGATACCTAAAAGTAGTTAATGCTTTTGGAAATATTTTTAAGGTTTTTTATCAATTAAAAATATGTATTAGATAAAACTTATGACAAATCAAAATGCCATATATTAAGAACTGGAGGGAGTAACTCGCAATCTTGCATCTTACTTATGGATCTCAATTTTTGTTAATTAATCCCAATACGCCTAGATCGGATGATTATGTGTTCTCTAGACTCTGAGACTGAAAGTCCTCCTAAAAATGAGATCGGTCAAACCATCTTTGAAGGGATTTTTCTGACTGAACTTTGGTATATATATGACGATCCTCAAGCACTAGTGATTCCAGCATTGTCTTCCATAACGAGATTATCAAACTCCAAAGTCGAACGAATCTTTAGATATTATAAATATAAAATGTGGTGCATAATAATTACCTGTTTGTTTTTGCCCATTTAATTTAATCTTGGATTTAAATGTACGTACTAACATGACAAAAATGACAAAACATAACTTTTCAACCTTTTCAAAAAAAGGAAAAACAAATAAAGAGATATGTACTAATCCAGTGCCCAATGTGTTATCTCATGAATTAATATATCACGGCGTGGAACGATTACATACGATCAAATAATAGGATATGAAAAGGTAGGGATATTAAGATTATAATTTATTAAAAAGAAAACCCAAAAAAGTTGTAAAGATCTTGACCACGATCCCATCACATCAGAGAACAGATTTGGTGAATTGGCGTGACAATATAGCTCAGAAGAGATGGATCCAGATGATGAATAATACCACCCGGGGGTGGACAAAATGAAAATTAGGACAACCTTAAAAAATTGGGCAATATTATCTAAAAAATTATGTATTTATTTTCTTTAAAAAAGGCTGGATCTTTTTCATGGCTATTCACACCAATCCATAAATTTTTGTTGAGTCACCGGGTATGGTCCTTGAACCAAATACTTGGAGCTGAGATAGCCAAAACTTTCAAAGCTGGACCAATCCCCTCAGGTACGTACGTACCCCAACCTAGCTTTCTTTTTTTCCTACATGCATGAAGAGTCTCTTCATCCGGTTTCATCCATCATTTGGTTAAGCCTAATTACGATGATTAATTTGGACTGTTACTCTCATTATTCGCTAAGTGTCCAAATTAATTTGGACTGTTACTCTCATTGTTACATTCTCTATACGTACATAGGAATCGTACCATAGTAAACATAAGTATACATTTGTTAATTAACTGTTAAGTTTCAAGGGTTGCTGCGTGATCTTCATAACTGGATGGTAGAGAGGTTTTTACTAATGTTGTTTTGATTTAATACAACGTAGCAAGAATTATATATCCACGGGGTCATCGTGATCAAATAGGTTAATTAAGTTGTTGAGATCGTGGCTTGACCCGCTGATCATATCTATTGCAAGGTCAATTGGGTAGCAGATAATTAGACAACATTTAGATTTTTTAGTGTAACTTCAAATACTTCAATCACTTATAAAATCTGAAGAATAAAATAAGAATTAAGATTTTTATTATGTTCTAGCTAGCTCTTACTCTTGTCTCCATTAAGATTTTTAGTGATCCAATTGTCTAGTTTAATTCCACATGTAAAACATTCTTATCTTTTGACTATACAGTCTTGCATCATCAATGAAACCGAGGAACGTCTATCAGGTACAATCTTGATTATTTAAATAAGAAAAAAAAATCAATTAGCATTTTATATTTGTCGAAAAAGATACATGTGTAACCTTAGAGGAGGTTATAGGTTAGACAGAAACTTTTATATATATATATATATATATATATATATATATATATATATAGGAACCTAATTAAAGTGATCGAATTACCTAAAAATCAAGGGCACTCAAGTTGCACAATTTAAAATCTTTTGGGTAGTTCTTGATGAATTCAGAACCATATAAAAAAAGTGATTGAAAGTTGAGAACTTTGAGGGAAAATGGGTGGGTGCATCCACGGTAAACAAAAAAATATTACAGTTTTACTAAGATATCTACATCTTGTGAAATGTCATTTTCAAAAAATGATTCAAGCAAACGGTAATTTGGTAAACAAGTACAAAAAAGAATTAAGGAGAGAAGGAAGAAAAGGGGGGCAGGGCTTGGTGGGGGACAATATTGTATGCTGTTCTTTCATTTTCAATACCCTCCTAGTATCTTCCAAATATATGAAATATCCTTCTGCATTTTCTGGAGGCCATTTATTACTATTTACCCCATTTGAAATTGAATCCCCCCATTCCTAATATCTATATCTTCTTCAATTTATTTTTTTTTCCTCCCTTTTGCCGGATATTCTCCAAATTCGATGGAATCGAAACCGCGCACCGACGACATCCTCTTCTTGTTACGAACTACGTACAGGATTATTTGTCTGGAATCTTGACACACAATTATATGATCTGTTGCGCTGAGAGGTCAAACAAAACACAAAGATTTTAAAGTGTTTCTACTTACGAGCAAAATGAAAATAAGGGAAGTCTTTATTTTCTTTATAAGAAAGGCCTGAAAAGAATTTTTTTTATTTATTTATTTCCAATATAAGATGATTTGGACAAAAGAGTTTTATATAGTCACAAGATTTGTGGCCAAGTAGGATGTGGATCGATTGAGATAAGTGTCACTAAGCAAGAGGCTTTTTCGTAGAGTCTCCCATAATCAACATATGTATCATTCCTTCAAGGTCTCATCAACATTATTAGTAAGCGACCAACAAAATATTGAAATACTCCCCTCGTTTCGAAATGATTGTTTAATTTAAATTTTTATTTTTTAAGTATAAATTGAACTAAATGTGAAAATCTAAATTGGACAATAATTTTGGAACAAAAGAGTATTTGAAGAATTCTTTATAATTAAAAATTTATGACATATGGAATAAAGATTTAAAAACTCATACGTGAAGAAATTTAAATTGATGGTCTTGACAAAATGTTAAGAGTTTATTGTAAGCCATCCTTTGTGTGTCTAAAGCTTAAGATCATATTCTTCATAAAAATCAATTCGTCTTAATTTCTATCAATTGCAAAATTCAAATTTCATAAGGTAATAAATTGAAGTTCAAAGGGAAAGTTTAATCCGATTACTTTTCATTTTTTTTAATTTTTATTTTTTGAGATTTAAATTTTGTATTAAATTTATTTTGCATTTACATTGGTTTAATGTGCTAACATTCTTTTCGTTTCTCAATACAAGCTAGACGGGCTTCTGAGTTATTGGAATCTGTCAGGTTAAAAGATGTTAGCACCACTACAGGCTACAACCCATCAAGGTCCATTATCGAAGTTTCTACCCAATCTAAACAAGGGCCCGTGTTTTAGCCCATCTAAGAGACAAATTTGTATTCCTCGTCACACAAAAACAACCCATGAATTTTTGTAAATTTGAAAAAGTGTTTATGCGTGAAATTTGCAAAAAGGTGCGCTTCCTCTTACAAAACAGTGCATAATTTTTTAATTTAAAAGTCAAAACTAACATCTCTAATCTTGATTCCCTCTTACAGCCTAGTGCATAATTTCGTAATTGAAAAATCGTAACTAACACAATTTGTATAACCAGTTAGGGAGGCACATATTTTCAAGGATGTTCATTACAATAGCATACAGCTCAACATGTTAAATACACCCTTACTGTCAAGGAATTTATTAGACTCTTGGATTTTTTTTAATTTTTTTTTAACATAAAAGTACTAATCTAATAGGTCTAATATTTACCGAGCCTAGTCTAGTCAAAAGCTTGAGCTAAAATATTCATTCCACGGCTGGGCCCAATGTTTCGATGGCCCAAATCAACATCTAGATCGACCCATCAAAACAAAAGACACAGCAGCGAAGAAGCTGGCGAGGCAAAGTAATCTGTGTTCTCACTTTTGTTCCATCTCCTAAAAATGACAAACTCTAATACTGAAGTGAAAATGTCCACTTCAGTTTAAAATCTTCTTAGAAAGAAAAAGTACAAAGTGTTATACATGTCTGTATGACTATCTCGTCTACCCTAAGAATATACTCAGGATCACATTATACCGAGATAAAATTAGAGATCGCACCAAATCACAATGTAAGAATATATTCGTGATCACATTACACCAAGATAAAATTAGAGATCGCATTGAATCACAATGTAAATCGTTGCCGCAAAGCTTTTTTCCTTCCGACCATTATCCTCTTCCCTAAGCAGAAGCCGAATCTCCGTGCAAATGCTTCCACATATGCGTCGGGGATGACATTCTTCACACCCTCCGGTCCTAAATGATACACTTGAAATAACAACAAAACAAAAAAGGAATTCGCTCACCATCCAAAAAGAAAAAATATAGATGAATCTACTCTAATCTTCAAATACAAGCTGACATTAAGAAAAGCAACAGGGCATACCAGTGAAAAAAGTATCACCATCAATAGCACATGCGGCAGTAAGACACATCGCTCTCTTCACCCACCATGCAGCTTCATCAACAGACCAAACAGACCAGTCCTGATATTTTCTACAAACACAAAACAAATCAACAGTGACCAAACTAATACTAACAAATCATAGCGACAAAAGAGGAGGCTGAGAAGAAAAAAAAGGAGGTCATAATCTTCATAAGGGAAATTCGAGTTCGGATAAATATTCACTAACTTCTGATTTTGGCCAGGACTCAGGTTTCCCAGGTCCAAATAACCATATGCATTATCCACTCCAGATCCAGCAGTCAATTTCTTTCTCTATTTCATCACTACCCATTACAATCTGCTCGATACAATCCAGGATCCTACACGGAAAAAGAAATCCGTCTATAGTGATTTTACAGGCATAACATGGCTGAAAAAGAGCTTGCAACCAAGCCTATCCTAACTCCATCCTAATTCCACAAAAGAGAGAATAGATGCAATACCTTTATGTAGTCAATTCCTGCAACCAGTACTACAAGTCCCGTTAAGCGACAAGAAACCATAGTGTCAGCCATCAATTCTGCCGCCTTTTCAGCACAAATTTTTCTGCCATTGAGATGTTTCCATTGGAGGCACTAGCGAGCATATATACAGAGGGGCTAGATAGTCAATCTTCCAACAACATAAGCTCAAGACCATACCCATGTAAAGGGGGAAAAAAACTGGAATAAAGTTTTGCAAAAATGAAAATTACCCTGTTTTCAAGATCTTTCAGCACATCAACATTCTCCCCAGTAAGAGTGACAATCAGGTGATCGTGAAGTTTAACAAAGTTTGGGTGAAAACCTAGATTTCATAAACAGAGTTAGTAATCTCATCTAAATACTTCAGCTCTCCAGCCCTTCTGCCTGATCATTTTTTCCCCCAAAATACTATAATTTTTTTTTAAAGGAGCTAAATTGACTCATTAAAATGCTATAAGCATACTTCTTTTCTTTACAACTCCATGGAAAATGCGATTCATCTACTAAGCAGAAAGCTTAATCAGATGGCAAAAAAAAAAAAAAACACCTGGTTCTGAATGATTAACAACTACCATAACCTCTTTTCCTCCGAAAAGAAAAGCCAAAGATGGGGGGTCCTTCCTCATCCTCTGGGGCAGCGGAGCAATCGCCCCAGTCGTTACAGATCCTGCCTTGCAGTACCTCTGATGGAATATATTTTCAACGGTTATACTTATTCCACGGACAAAAGAAGGATCAACGGTTATACTTAGTCCACGGACACCGGGGGAAGATGATGCATCAGAGATACTGCAGTCCAATTCCATGTTTCCCACCTTTTCGCTAATTTCTTCTGCGATATTCTTCTCCATTGATCCTTGACAAAATTATTCAGAACTTAATGAGCTGCTTCTCTGATCTCTTACAAAGAAGGGTAGTTTAGGGTTTTTCATACTAGTTCATGTGATACTTACTCTGTACGGAAATATCAAAAACATCCCTTAACCTTCATGTGAATTATTAAAAAGGTTCTTTGGCGACTAGAAATTGATATATCTATATGAGTTCGGTCCAAAAATACACACACACACACACAAAAAAAAATATATGTGCACCCCCAAGAAACTCTCTGTATTTTTTTTTTTTCAAACTCTAATAAAATCCGTTTGGGCAGTAATTAATTCTAACTTTATGAGACTTTGGTGATTTGGGGGAAGAGCAGCTACTTTCAAGACTTGTAAAAAGCAAAATTTAGATTTTGAAGTATATATTTGAGTTTATTAAAGTTTAAGAAAATTTAAGGAGAATTTCTTGGGAATAAAAATGTCTTTTTGGCACTTTTTTGCTGACTTCATATGCATATATCAACTTTCAGTCCTAGAAAACACTTTCGATAGTTTAATTGTAAATTAAAAGTTTTTTTTATATTTCTCTAAACAGTAAAATATTTTAGATAATTAACCAAACCTCGGAAGTGTTTTTGATTTACCCTTGAATTGTTTAGGCGCTGAAAGTGTAAGCAAGAACAATAAATGCAGGTTTCTTTTGTACTCCCTCCATTTCAAAATATAAGTCTTTTTAGACTTTCCACGTAAATTAAGAATATAATCATCCAATAATTAATTTTGTATGTTAAATATTTGTCTTACCCCTCATTAAATACATTGAAACTATAAATAAGACTAAATAAAAATAGATTAGCATCATCTATTGAGGGTAAAGTTAGAAAAATAGTCATTAATTTGCCTAGAATTTGTAAAACGACCTACATTTTGAAAAATCTCTCCAAACCTAAAATGACCTACAAATTGAAATGGAGGGAGTACTCTCTTCCAACTAACCATCCCCCTTCTAAATCTGGTATAAATAAATATATAGTAGTCGAGGTGCTCTATTGAAACATACAAAATAACACACATTTTCATGAAAGGCAAAACAGCTTATACACATCATTCAAAATGAAATTTGTTGGAAAAGAGTGAATGAGAATTAAGTTTCTCAAGAGTTGGAAAAATTAGAGTTAAGGGACTTTGTCCCACATGGGTGTTGGGAAGAGTTGGAGCTCAATTTATAAGTGAGAGCCCAAAATTGATTTGCAAGTTGACTTGCCAATACTATATCACATCTCTCCCGCTCGCGTGCGCCCGCGCAGGGGGGGTGCAAATGGAGGTCCGAATCGGGGCCAAAATAGCTTGACTCATGTGTGCGCACGACCTGCGGACACGAATGCCGAACCGAACTCTAGCAGGCCTGATCAACCCACATTTTGCTACGGTTCAGATTAACTTTTTCCAACTAAAATTTTAATGTAGAGATTTATGTTCATTCATTTCAGTCAAAGAGAAAACTGAAACATTGTTGTTGAATGAGCAAATGAATGGCAGATTTAATACTGTTTAAATGGCAGAATGAATTCTTTTGACTGTTTGATTGTCAAAAACGTTTTGGCTGTTTATGTGCCATGAATTCGTGACATTTAACAGAATTAAAACACCAAAACCGTTTGAAATTTTACTGCCATTTCAAAGGTTTCTCCAGCCTATAAATAGGCACTCATTTTCCAAAGTTCAATACACCAATCCTTCCTCCTCTTTCAGTATTCTTTCGAGCCTTTCATTCCTTCTCTTTCAGTTTTAGTGTTCATCATCGTGTTCTAAGTTTCGTTCGCTGGTAGAACTTCTTTGTGCTAAGTAGTCTCTACGTTTCCGTTGTATCCTGGGAAACAGTTGCTCGAGATCCTCAAGCACCACAGGAGGGGGCAAATCTGTTTTAAGGAGATCGTGTTTTCACGAGCCTCGGATTTCTTCTTCTTTCATTTTTCGTTAGCCTTTGCGAATACTCTTCATATTTTCCAACAAAATTTTCATGAGTAACTTTTTTGTCTGCTAGAAATTCTTAATTTAAATAGATTAAATAATGATTAACAGCTAAACCGAAGCAGTGTGATGGAAACACTCCTCTAAAGTAATGAGGTTTAATGTATTTAAACCCGAGTTAAAACAGAAAAAAGGATTAGTGAAGTCATAATTTCTTTGTGTAAGAATGACCAGGAATGAGGTATTGTCTTTCCTAACTACTAGGATTTGGAAAAAGAAAGTATGTATGGTCATCAGCTTTGTGGCTAAATAGAATATGAATTGAAAAGTTTAGTTAAACTATAGAGTATTAACTATTAATATTAACTATTAAGCTCAGAGAGCAAAAGCACAGAGAAGTGGTAAAAGTAACTCCCGGCGATTTTGCAATAGGCAAAAACCCGCAAAAAGGACTTGGGTTATAGGAATGAGATATTCAAAGCGCTAAAAAGTCTATAAAAGTTGTACGTGAGGAGTCTGTACCTCCGCGCCGGAATTATTTTTCAGTTTGAATTTTTATTTTTTATTATAATTTGTATTAAAAATAAACATTTAAATTAAACAATAATTTTAAGATATATTGAATATTAATTAATCTTCTCCTAATAAACTCCATACAATGAGTTAGATGTTCAATGAACCATAACATTAGTTCAAGAAAAGATATAGATCTTCCTATTGTAGATAATCTTATTTGTACGGTTTTAAATTAATCTTACTCATGAAATGTTCATTTGTACTACTTTGTATCAATCTGAAAATTTTGAAATTGGTTAAATTAAGAAATGAATTGGACGCTTAAAGGTTAAAGTTCGATCAAATTATGTATCATTGTTTTATCCAATCTAACTTGTTAAATGTTACTATTAACGTATTTTGCATTAAAAATTCTCCTCGTCTATAACACATCATTGCGCATATTTAGATGTTCAGCAAAAAATAAAAAAAATAATAAAAAATATATTGTTTTCTCTAATGTACATATTTGGGACAAAACATCACTGGTAAATTTGGGACAATATAGAGGATAGATCTAGGACCAAAACAAACTTGGTTGCAAAACTTCCCTCTAAATTTGAGAAAATAAAGATCCAAAATAATTTGCTCTCATATTGTAGTTAAGGTATAGGCAAAATATCCCGTCTTAGATAATTTACATCTAAGTTAGTGAGACAGATCTGACATTCCGTTTCTCGGCTTATGGATATGGCTAATTTATATTCATTTTGTTGTGAAATAATTGTTTCGCATAAAAATTTTATTTTTAGCATAAATTATACTCCCTCTATTTATTTTCAATAGGCTCACTTCTCTTTTTAGGATGTTTCAAAACTTAGTCCCACTTCAGATAATTAACTAACTTTTTCTATGAACTCTCTAATATACCATTCCCATTTTCACTGAAATAAAAAACATTTTAATTAATTTCAACTATTACTCTCTCATATCAACTAATAACTCACTAGTCATTAATAAGGATATAGAAGGAATTTTATTTAAAATTAAATTATGTTAGTCACTTTTTCTTAATTTCTGTGTATGTCTAAATGGACCTATTGAATTAGAATGGAAGGAGTAGAAGAAATGACGAGTGGGATAGGGCAATCTGAAGGGACACATGCAAGGACAAAGAGTATTTTGACTTTAGAATAAGGGTCGTGCTGTTGAGCGTCCTAATTTTTTCATTTGAACGTCCTAAAAAGACGTATACGCCCCTGCAAAATAGAGCTACATTGGTTTTTTTTTGCAAAAAGAAAAAATGTATGGCGAGGGAGGAATAAGCCACCACTTTAAGGGGTGGCGAGAAAACCTTCGCCGCATTTAATAAAAATTATCATTTAATAAAAACTAAAACTTATGAATTTACTACCAAATAAATTAATTATTCACCATCGGTGCATCTAGTCGTCCTGGAAATATTTTTTTGAAAAAAAATATAAAATTTAAAATACGTTGAAACGAAAAATTAAAAAGCATGGAAAAAATATAAAATACTTTTATTTATTTATTTAATTTTTTAATATTTTTTTAACCGCCAAATAGATAAATAAAAAATAAAATTAAATAAATAAAATAATTAATTAATTAATTTAATTAAAAAATAGAAAAAAAATTTTTAAAAAAAGTAATTTCGGTTTGGCGAGCGTTTGGCGCCAGATTATTTTACGTTAAAAGGACGGCTAGATGTTTGGTAGTAAAGTAATCTGTTTGGTAAAATAATCTGTTTGGTAGAAAAAAAAAGGGGGTGTATGTAAGGGTAAAATAATCTTTTTAAGATTTTTTAAGGCGTTCAAATGAAAAAATTAGGGCGTTCAGTAACCTCCCAGTAACAGCTGAAAAAGGGTCATTAAAAATTGTCAGATGCACTGCCAAACCCATCAAGGCCCATTATTGAAATTTCCAAGCCTTTGCAAAGAATCTGAACTGACAACAACAGCCTGCTACACCCAAAGACCAATCATAGGCCTCAATGTCTATAGTCCATCCTCCATCGACGATACAAATTGCATAAAATGTTGCTATTTCGTCCCCAAGTTACATTCATGCTGGAATCTTGAGAAGATGGGCAATATAAGTTATCTATAATATTTTACATCCGAAAAAAAAAAAGAGAAATAGTTATGATGTTTATTGCAAGGGATAAAAAATAATGTGAATATCATGAACTATATTACTCACAACTTTTCACGATAAAACTTGAAGATCAAATCTCGTAAGGTGTTAATTGGCCATTTATAGGTGTTTAAAGAGACTATGCCCTCTTTATTGTACAAACAAAATAGAATGATTTGATTAAGAGTTGAATTGAAAAGTTTCGTGATCATGGCTCTTTTTTTTTTTTTTTCCCATTTTCGGGAACCACATGGAGTTTTGTTATCTATACTATTTTCAGAACAATAGCTATGGGAGATAATGTAATGAAATTAGGCTGCTAGACAAACATTTCAACATTTACAGTATTGTGACCTACTAATTTAACTTATTACAGTTACTATCATTATGTCGGATTCAGGTGTGCCTACAGTATACTATTAGCTGTTTATAAAGTCTGTTTCACTTCACACCAAAAACTATCAACTCGTGCTTGCTTGCTACCCTTTCCGCCAACCACCAAGTATTAAAACTGAGCTTGAATATTGGTACATATAAAATCCGAGACATATAAAGAAACAGTGCAAAGGGTTGTACATATTTGTTTCAGTATGTATTGTCCACCATACTCGGGGGATCAATAGAGACCGGCCCAAATCACAATGTAAATCACCGCCGCCATGTTTTTTTCCTTCCGACCATTATCCTCTTCCCTAAGCAGAAGCCGGATCTCCGAGCGAATGCTTCCACATATACGTCGGGGATGACATTCTTCACACCCTCAGGTCCTAAATGATACACTTGAAACAACAACAAAACAACAAAGGAAATCACTCACCATCCAGAAAGAAAAAAATAGATCAATTAACTAATCTGCAGATACAAGTTGACATTAAAAAAAACAACAGCGCATACCAGTGACAAAAGCATCACCATCATCAGCACAAGCAGCAACAAGACACAACGCTCTCCTCGCCCACCATGCAGCTTCATCAACACACCAAACAGACCAGTCCTGATATTTTCTGCAAAACTCAAAACAAATCAACAGTGACCAAACTGATACAATACCTTTATGGAGTCAATTCCCGCAACCAGTGCCACAAGTCCCACTAAGTCGCGAGAAAACATGATGTCAGCCATCAATTGTGCAGCCTTTTCAGCATAAATCTTTCTCCCATTAAGATGTTCCCATTGGAGGACCTGGCGTGCATAAATATAGAGGGTAGATAGTCAATCTTCCAACAACATAAGCACAAGAACAGACCATCCAAATTAAGAGCCCAGAAAGATTTGCAAAAACAAAATTTACCCTCTGTTCAATATCTTTCAGCACATCAACATTCTCTTCAGTAATAGTGGCAACCAGGTGGTCATGAAGCTTAATAAAGTTTGGGGGAGAACCTGGAATTGGTAAACAGATAGAGTTAGTAACTAATTTACAGTCCATGGAAGGAAAATTGCAACTCATCGTGATTTAGTAAGAAAACAGCTCAATCAGACCGTATTAACACAGCATATTGTACCTGTTTCTGAATGATTAACAGCTACCATAACCTCTTTTTCTCCGAAAATAAAAGCGAGACTTGGGGGACCCTTCTCATCCTCTGGGGCCGCGGAGCAATCGCCCCAGTCCTTACAGATCCTGCCTTGCAATAACTCATATGGAATATTCTCGCGATCCAGGAATACAGCCCCTTCAATACACAAGCAATACTAACAAAATCAAAACCAAAGCTAACAAACAAAATAATTAGAAGGGGAAAGAGGCGAGTGGGGATGAGAAGAACTAACCTGCCTCAGTTGGCGGTCATAGTTAGGAGGATCGCACGTTCTATATCGGGATTTTGTAGAGCGATCATCGGGCAATTTCGTAGTTCGACCGGATTTAGATTTCACGACCTTGTGCTTTTTGCCCACGTCCAAACGGCGGCCGGAATCGGGCGGGTTTCTGAGACCCGGAAAAGGGCAGTGGCCGGGATCAGCGGGGGCGGATGCATCAGAGCTATAGCAGGTCAAATCCATCTCCCTCATTTTTTCGCTGATTTCGCTGATTCCCCTGGTTTTGATCACTGTGGGTTGTGTAGATCTGGCCTAGGGTTTCAGATCGAAAAAACACAGGGCACAGTAACAAATACAATTATCAAATACCACAGGCCACTTTTATCCTCGTAAAGTATATATATACAGAGAGAGGGGTTGTTCAGGGTTCTTACGGTTTTTTAACCCTTTTTTCTTCTGGAATGTTGTACATAAGTTGGCTTGGCTTTCTATGAGTCCACTAGGCGATCTTACAGCTTTCCTATACGCCTATACTAATTGCCATTCTTTATAAAACGATCTTTATCTAAGAAAATATAATTCATATTTAGTTGTTAAATTTGTATTGTTTTACAATTTCTTTAAAAAAAAATTAGATGCCTTAGACCATCTATCTCCTAATAATAACCATCACCATCTTACCGTTTCAAAAAACCATCACCATCTTAATCTCCTAACCCTCCCACCCCTATTATTTTTGCACAAATATCCAAACTCGATATGGACGTTTTTTTGCTAGGTTTATGATGTTAAATATTGGTGACTTTTTATGTATTAATGATGAATTAATTTTGATTTATTTGAATAATGGTACTTCTACCATTAAACATGTAAAAATTGATATTGTTGGGATCTTGAAAACTTATTAATCTATAGATGTATTAATTTATCAATAAAGTAACAATTATTTAATAAAAACTTTAGAGACATTGTAGTTAGTGATATTAAAATATTGATTTATGATGGAATTGACGACAATTCAAGGTCTTCAGAACCAATCACACGAAAAGGAATAATTTAACGCACCAATAACTCTTCATTGAATTATTGAATAATTTTATCACGGGTCTTCAATCAAATTTATTTATAAAATAGGTATCTTTATTAAGACAAAATTCACTCGAGATCATTCTGTTACTTTTGGCCATTAAATCATAACAGAAACCTTTTTTCACATCTAACACATGTGATTTGGGGTATAGGGGCAATTTTGTCATTTAATTTTTTTAAAAAAATATAATTTTTATTTTTTTTAAAAAAAATCTCTCTATACTTCCTAGATTGTACGTGTAGATTTTAATATGATTTTGAAATTTCAAGAATGATTTTACTTTTCATATTGTAGCTTCTAAGAGTGCAAGTATTTTATCCTTGTTATGAAATTCAATAATTGCTTATAGTTTTTAGTTTTTAAAAAATACAATAATAATAAAGTGAATGAAATAATCATTTTAAGATAAATGTGAAAATTTTGTATTTTGTAACTAATATATGTATTTCAAGGAGTAAAGGAGAAATGACTTGTCTAAACTGATTCTTTATTGTTTTTTTTTTAGTTCAAAATTATAAACTATTAATTTTATTGTTACTTCAACTCGAAATTCTTTTTCTTCATTTTCTTTATTTTTTAAAAAGAATTTTTAAAAATTTAGAAATTGAAATACAAAAGGTACATTAATTCTTGGGATTTATTAACAATATTAGTATCAACACATACATGTTAGGAAGTATAAGAACAAGTTAAAAAATAAAATTTAATATTTAAGTTTAAATGTTGTATGGATATTGTATATGCTTTTTTTTTTTTTTAACTAGGATGCGGATTTAAGAGATAAAAGTAAAATTTTGTTTGTTTTGAATCAGTGGCCATACCCTTTAATTTTTGGGTGAAAAATCATTATTGGAGGAAAACAAACGGAGGCAAAAAAGTTTGGCGGGAAACTTTTTTCTCAAAATTTATTACATTTTGCCCCCCTAAGTTTAGCTAGATCTACGATAAACCTTTCCAGTTTAAAAATATTACCCAATACCCCTTAACTCATAGTTAATCTACCAAATTTCTACTTATAACATATAATATCATTATCAATTTTGTGTAAACAGTAAATAATAAAATATATCATAATCTTTTTTTATATATAAAAGTACTCCCTCAATTTAAAACATAGTTCACATTAAATTTCGTGATGTTAACTATATTTAGTATAAATTTTAAAACTATGTGGACTAGACTCATGGGACAACAGGAATACCATATTAACCCTTTCTAGATTAGTGCATATCGAATAAATTTTGAAATTATTAACAATATGATTTATTTTAAAATAAAATAATTTTTTTAATTAACTTATATTATTTACTCATGGATTAACTTTCATTTATTATTAATTTATATTATAATTATATGAGAAAATGACAAATAAAGTAATTTCATTTTTAACAATAAGTAAGAAAAAGAAGTAACAGTGTGTATGTATCATGATTATTTTAGTCATTTCAACATTAAATTTTTATTTAGAGGGTATATGATAGCGTTACTAAAATTCGGAGGGTTTACTGTAAAAGTTGGGTACACCATTTTATTTTGGGATAAGGACAATTACCCCCTGAATTTTGTCTCGAACCTTAAAACTCCCACGAGTTTTTATCAAAGGACAAAGACCCCCCTGAGTTGTGTTCATAAGAGTAAGACACCCCTTTTGACACATAAAAAGACTATAATTCCCTCAATTTGTGTAGGGCCCAATTTTTTTAAATTTTTTTTTCCTATTTTATTTAGATTAATGATTTTTAATTCAATTTTCTTTCTTTTTATTTTTATTTTACTTTATTTAGTTTAATTATTTTTAGTTTTGTTTTTTCTTTCTTTTTAATTTTTTTTCTTTTGTCTTTTAACCAAAAGTAAATTGAAAATATATTTGATTTTATCTGAATTTATTCCAGGTTTATACAATCAAATTTGCACCCGTAAAAGGATAGTAGCTATCTAGAGTTCAAAGAATGATGACAACAATATCATGAAATATGATTACACAAACCTGGAATAAATTAAGGCAAAATCCAATATATATACTTTTTATTTATTTTTGAATTAAAAGGTAAAATTTAAAGAAATTTAAAACAGAGTAAAATTAAACTAAAAATAATGAAACACAAAAAAGTAATGCATTTTTTTAACAATCAAAAGAATATTAGATAATCTAAAATTCCTCATAAATGTTCTTTTTTCAATTTATCACGAGTCACGATTAGAACAAAACAAGATCACAAATGTGGTGAGGACTGAGGAGTAATGCATTTTTTTGATGAGGAGTAATGTAGATCATTTGTCTTTAATATTTGTCAAAACAATTTTTTGAATTTTCCTTTATATAAAAGAATGGTTTTTGTATCTTTTACATTTCATTTTTTTCCCCTTAAATTCCATTCTAAAAAGGATTGCGCTGTACGTTGGTCAGTTGGTGTTATATCCATGGATCTTTGTACTAAATTAGGACAGTTGATTATTTAGTTGTTGGATGCATGTTATTCAGGTGGTTTGTGATTAATTTTAAGACCAAACTCAAGATAAAGAGACAAAAAGAATAAAAAAAATATGAAGAATACTTTTTTTTCTTAGGAAAATAAATACCCCTTTATTCAAAAATGATTGTCATGTTTAGAATGAAATAATTATTTTTATACGAGAAAAGAGTATAATTATTTAAAGACCGGAGAAGTAGCATTGGGGGCAAAAAAAATTAAAAAAAAATAAAAAAAAAGAGATTTATAGTAAAACCTTTATAAATTGATATACTTGGGCCTTTAAATTTTTATTAATTTATAGAGTTATTAATTTATCAATAAAATAATAATTATTGATTTATCAATAAATTAATATTTTATTAATTTAAAGGATTTTTTCAATCCTATAAGTAAGAAAAATAAAAATTTATTATTTTTATATCATAAAAAGTCTGTTGCAGCCCTAACTATAACATTATAATTTTTTAATGGAACAAAAAAAAATTATATTTGAAAAATTAAATAAGAACAATTAAGTTAAAATCTAAGTTAATCTCCAAATTATAGTTATCAAAGCGAGATACGTATCGTGTATCAGTAACATAGATTTATGATACGCGTATCATATCGTGTATCGTATCGTAAGATACGTTTTAATATAATAATATATAAAAAAAAATAAATATCATAAACTCCATATGTAGCTGATATATTTATATTGTTTTTTATTTTTTCAGTTATAAACAAATAAATTGATTAAGTTGAATTCAAAATTAGTTGAAAGTTACACATATTACTTATTCATTATATGAATAATGGTCGTAAAACTTATGTAATAAATATTATTTTTCATAATAATTGTTATTAAGCCATAAATTTAATAGAGAGAAATTAATATAAACATGTATTGCATTTATTAACTTGCTATTAGTTATACTTGATTTAAAAAAGGAAAATGATATTATGAATAAAAAATATTTTTAACTAATTTTATTTTTTAACTAGAATAATTTATTTATCGATTTTATTGACAATTGAGGAAGATTATGTTTATGAAATAAATCAAAAGTATCTATTTAAAACAAATTGTAAATGAAATTCGCTCTTAATTTGAAATTTAAATGGTCACAATTTGAATTTTTTTAAGAAAAAAATTAATTCTACCTATGTTTTTGTATCGTACGATACACAATCGTAACGTGTATCGTAAGTATCGTATGATATATATCTATAATTGACCGATACACAAGCGATTGCGATACATACAATGATACGTATCAAAATTTCGTGCGATACGTATCGCGCATCGTACGATACTTACTACTATGCTCCAAATCTAATTTGTTATTTTAGGTACTTATTAATTTATGAAATTGTGGGAACTTATATATTTAAATGGGAGACTCTTGAAAATTTATATCTTATAATTAATATAATTTATTCATTTTTTGTACTGTTACCGATTTGAAAATTAAAAAATATTATTTAATAAATGTTATTAATTAGTAGAGGATTAATTTAGGAAAATTTTCATATACTCCCTCTGTCCCAAAATTATTGTCCAGTTTGAGATTTCACTTTTAGTACAATTTGAACTAGAAATTAAAATACAAACTGGACAATAATTATGGGACGGAGGGAGTAAATCATTATATTGGTTTTATAAAACATGAATCACCAATTTAAAGGATAATATTTGTTTGAGAATA